GCCCCTGCCAGTTCACAGGAACATGCATCTTTAATAGCAGGGGGACCGTATAATGTATTAAATTATAGAATAAACACCAGAACATTCAGGAGAGTTAAAGTGGATGTTGTAATGATGCCATCTGGCTAATAGATGTAGCCTAGGACTATCCTGGGCTAACCAGGCACATGGTCGCATCTGGTCTGCTTCCTGCCCCTCCAGCCACAACAAAAGGAATGTCAGCAATTGGTCAAAGCTGCCATAGACCTAAGCCCCTCACTTGCCCTTGGACAAGGGGGAAGGTGCATTCCAGGAACGAGGTGGGGGTGGGGCAGGAAAGCATAAGCAGGTCTCTGAGCTGTAATACTCGGGTATTACAGATCTGGGTACTAGGACAGAGGACACAAGCCTGTGTAGGGAACAGATCAGAGGCAGACGGGTGTGGGTTATGGCCCTAGCTTTCAACTTCTGTGATCTTGAGCTTGACTTAAAGGCAGGTGGCTTATTTAAGCTTTCCACCCTCCCCAGTCATGTAGCTTTTTTTTCGGTCTTGTAGCTTTTTTTAATTTCTTTTGCTGTACTTCTGTGCAAAGGTGGCCTGATGTGTACGTGGGATATAGGTCAAGCCTCATGGCTTGTGTGTGGCTCAGTGGTAAGTGCTTGGCTGCTAACTAAAAGGTTGGTGGTTGGAACCCATAGAAACCCACGAACTGCTCTGCGAGAATCTGCTTCTATAGTGCTTAAACTGAAACCAAACCCACTGCCACGGAGTCCATTCAGACTCACAGTGATCCTTTAGGGCAGAGTAACACTGCCCCATAAGGTTTCCAAAGCTGTAAATTTTTATGGAAGTAGACTGCCTCACCTTTCTCCCACTGAGTGGCTGCTGGGTTCTAACTGCTGACCGTTTGGATAGCAGCCTAATGTTTTGACCACTAAACTACCAGAGCTCCCTTCCATAGAGATTACAGCCCAGAAAACCCAGGGCTTCTACTCCCTCCTATAGGGATGCTATGAGTAGGATTTTTTTTTTTTTTTTTAACTCTTAATTGTGATTTGGGTGCAATTTGACAAAGCAGATTCATTTTACACTTAGCGAGCTGGAATCTACCAATGGCAACAGGTTTGGTTGTTTTTGATGTGTGTGCGAGAAAGCTCTATTTTCCTCTGTCTGTCTGACTCTCAGATTATTAGTACAAGCCCACTCTGGCTGTGGCCCCAGGCTACAGGCTACACGCTCTCCACAGCAGAATGCACCTCCCAGCTGAGCCTGATCTGTGCCAAGCTCAAAGACCCCACTTAGGTAGAATGTAACTTTCCATAAACAACCTCCAACCTGATCTACAATTTAGCCTTCTGTTTTTTTCCCTTCGTGGTAATGGGATCATAGCCTAGGCTGGTCCCTCCTGAGTCTTGGGTGCCAGAACAAAGACCCTTGGTGTAGGTCGGATCTGGGTATGGTTGGAACATCTGGTCCCATGCTGCCTTGCACACCATGAGGATGCAGCACCTGTTGGGGCTCGGCTGAGCCGTTCATCCATCCAGACACAGCCCCACTTGCTGCCTTGGTGTCTTCGCTCAGTATCCTCTGCCTAGAAGGCCAGTGCCCTGCTCTGTAGCTGGTAGCCTCTGTGAAACCTTCCCTAACCCTTATCCCTCATCCCTGCCACCAAGCAAATTATCCATGTCCCTGGTTCCCATAACACTCTACACAAAACACACTGTGACCTGATTCTGTGCCCACAAGGCTCTGGGCAGCTTGTCGAGTCAGATCCAACTCATAGTGACACCTCCTTGGGTTTCACTACGGAAGTTGCCCAATTTTCCTTCAGAGATTCAGATACAGATCTGGTTGTAGAGCCTGTGTCACCACCCACTGGGCTATACTGTCCCTCAGGGCTAAATGATGTCTCCATTTTCTATCTGCTGTCTGGGAAACTCCTCATGATGCATGGATTCCCTGGGAGGGCTCATTGTGGCCTCCTCCAGATCTGGAGTGTTGGGAAAGGACAAGCCAGCAACACCTGCAGATATCCATCAAAGACTAGATGGTAATGAATTTAGGAGAGTTCATTGGGAGTTAGACTGAAATATAGTCAGGGAAGACCTCAGCTTACTTGGCTAGGGCTTCTGGGGTGAGGTTACCCCCAGATAGGCCAGGTTTGATTTAAAGCTTTGCAGGTGATCATCTGTCCTCACAGCAACCGAAGAGTATTTATTCAGTCCTAGTTACCATCCAACAGAGTCAGGCATCTTGATAATGAAAACATTTTGAGAAGTGTGAGCCACTGTCTCTGCTTTTAAGGAGCTTACATTCTCTCTGGGGAGCTCTGGTGGTGTAGTGCCTAAGGCATTTGACCGCTAACCAGAAGGCTGAGGGTTCCAACCCACCAGCCACTCCTCGGAAGGAAGGTTGGGCAATCTACTTCCATAGTGATACCGCCTTGGAAACCCAAGGAGGGGTCGCTATGAGTCAGATCTGACTCGACAGTACATTCTCTCTAGTGAGGCACGAAATCCACATCTCTAAAAAAAAGAAACATACTGCCTCACCTGAGCTCCCCATGAGCTGGTCCTGCTCTTACCCAGCTTCCTATCTATCCCAGGACCAAGTGAGACTTGGCCAGACAAGATGGGTCCATCAAATGGAAGACAGACTCAGGAACCAAAGTAGTGGCATGGACAAAAGGGGTTTCGGTTCTGCTGAGTACATGCTCAACAGAAACAAAAAATAAACTAAACACAGATGAGTGGGGACGTGGCTCAGACATCTGAGGAGAGAGAAGCTGGAGCATCTTGGGGAGAGTCAGAGGAGAGGTGACAAATAATGTGAACCCAAAATAAAGAGTAGGAGCTGCTGGGGGTGGTAAGTGGGGGTGCCAATCTAAGGAGGCAGCAATCAGTAGAGCCTTGGTCCTTGGGGGTAGGCAGAAGGTTGGAAGAATGTGAGATGGGAACCAATCAGAGAAGGCCAGCCTGAGAAGCCAGAACTTGATCTTGGGCAAGAAGGAGCTACTGAAGGATCTTGAGCAGGGGTGTGACATGATGAGAACAGTGTTTTTGGAAGGCAGTGTGGGAGACCCAAAAGCCCACTGCCACTGAGTCGGGTCTGACTCATAGCAACCCTATAGGACAGGGTAGGATTGCCCCATAGAGTTTCCAAGGCTATAAATCTTTATGGAAGCAGACTGCCTCATCTTCTCCCTCAGAGCAGCTGGCTGGATTTGAACTGCCAAGCTTTTGATTAGCAGCCCAATGTTTTAACCACAGCACCACCAGAGCTGTGACGACCGGGATGAGGTTATTGCAATGGAGCTGGGGTGAAGGAATGAAGCCTGGGTTTGGAAAGGAAGAGACAAACATGACTTTTCAAAGGAAGGACATAATTGCCATGGGTCTCCAGAGAGTAGTGAAAGGTGCCTCCACGTCTGAAGGCCTAGTGACTGAGAGAAGGGTGTTAACTCTGACAGAAATGACATTGTGTGTGGCTGACCAAAAGAGACCACATCCTCTCCGTAATGATTCATTGTCTTTATTAACAATGCTTCCGGGTTCTGAAAGAACAGACTGTTATTTCACAAAGCAGTATTACCGTTGTTGTTTTCTACAAGAAAAACGTTTGCATAAATAACTTAAGTGAGAAAATAAATATGTAACTTAACTCTTTAAAAACAACTACTTTCATTCGTGTGTACAAGTGCCATGTGGGAGGACTGCAAAGCTACCAGCCTGCAGGCTTTCACATGGCATGCGCTTCTGTTCAAAAAAAGAGAAAGAAAAGAAAACCAATTAAGAACTACACAGAAAGTAAGAGTGTCTGGAAATGGTTTTCAGAAAGGGTTTTGGGTGGCAGCTATTATGCTTTGCAGTTTCTCAGCATATGTACAGCACTTGTAACTTTTTCCCCAATAATATTTTAACATAAGCTATGCCATCCCATGAAAGGGCAGGAAGGAGCTATTTTCGAGGCAGAAATGAGCGGTGGGCAGGAGGGGGTGACTCAGAAAGAGACCTGCAAGATTCTGAATGCTGACATTGGACCTCCATGTGCCGTGACCTTGAGCATCTCTGTAGAAGGTGACTTTAAAATATGGTCATGGCAGGGGAGGGGGTGCTGCTCTTTGGGAATGAGGGAGCCCATTTCTGTCCCTCCTCCCACCCTCGGGACTCCCCCTTCTCAACCCCAATTGATGGTGTTATTTCTGCTTCCTTTGAGATGGCGGAGTGGAGGGAGCCAAACATCTGGGTAGGCCAGGCTTAGAAACAACATAGCTTCTTCCAGGAGTTTCTCTGCCATAAATAGCCTCTTTGCTTTTTTCTGCTTGTTTTTCATCGTTGGCTGTCAGATCAGAGGATCCCATCTCCAATTCTGGAAATGATCTTGGCAGAGAGTCAATCCAACCTCTCTCTCCCTCTCTCCTCTGCCCATTCCAAGGGCACCCGAGTCCTTGGAATCCTATGAGAGGAGATGCCTTTGTGGTCCTAATCCTACCCTCATTTTACAAAACGAGGAGATGGAGGCCCAGAAAGAGAATGTTGTCATCCAAGGGCACACAGCAGGGTAGTGGGTGAGCCAGGACTAGGACCCGCAGGCCTGTGATCTTGACCCAATCCAGCAGGGGGAGACTTATGACGGGGCGGAGGGGTGGGGGGGGATCCTACCTTTCTGAAGTAGGGCAAGATTCCTCCACTCCACTCCGCTCCCTTAAAACCCCAGGTGGTGAAAATGCTTCCCTGTTTCTGCAGTGAGTGGGACAGGCAAAGTTGGGCTGCCTCTGGGGGCGAGGCTGCGTGGCTCAGTATCTGTGACCCTCAACTCCCTCCCTTGCCCTGCGGGACCCTCTCAGCCGGCGGAGCGAGGGGCCTGGGCTGACACCTCGGGTTCCCCAGGGCTTGGCTCCCTTTCCCTGGGCTGCTGGTATTTTAAATGAAGTACAAGCAATCAAACCACGCACAGGGCACAGAAACACGGGAAGGCCTCCATCAGGAACGCCCGCAGGGACAGCGCGGCGCTGCAGGCTCTAATAGGCGTTCTCCAGCTCCGCCTGGTTGGCTTTGGCGCCCCTGCTGCGGGGCCGTGGTTTGCGGCCTTTTTGCGGCCGCGCCGCCTCGGGCCCGAAGTCCTTGAGCTCTGATTGGTTGTGGAAGCGAGAGAGGCGCTTGCATTTGCACGAGGCCACTAGGCGCACCTTGCGCGCGCGCGGCGCTGCGCCGCCGGGACAAAGCAGCTGCAGGCGCTGCGCGCGGTAGCGGTCGGGGATGCAGCGGAAGTCAGGCCCACTTGGGCGCCACCACTTGCCGCGCCCGATGGCGTTGGGCAGCAGGCGCGCGGGGCCGCACTGGCCGGAGCACACCAGCTCAGTCACCGGCTTGGCGCTGCGGCACCGTCCGTCCGTCACATAGCGGGTGATGTGGAGCTCGCGACAGCTGTACTCCGACGCGTCTGCGGAGAAAGACGCATGTGAACCGGGAAGTCCGGCCGCTTTAACCACACCCCACCTTTTCTAAACCTGTGCCCACCTTCTCCAGACACTTTTCCCCGAGGGGCACCTCCTCTACGGAGAGGTCCCAGGTACTCTGGCAGGTGGAAAGATCTCCAGCCCATTACCACCCCCATTCCCCGAATTCAGCATCAGGCCTAAGACTTTGCAGCCAAGCCTGCTTGGATTCAGGGTGCTAATACCAGCTGCATCACGTAATACCTGTGTGATCTTGGACAAGTTACTTTACCTCACAGCGCTTCCTTTTTGTAAAACGGAATGTCTCGAGGATTAAATGAGTTACTTCGTTACATATATAACGCAGAGGACACTGCTTGACACAGATTAAGAGCTGGAAGCGTTAGCTGTTACCGCATGTTATTATTATTCCTCTCCAAGGGCCCCTCTCTTCTAGATTTCAGCAACCCAGTCCACCTGTGCCACAGGGTCTCAGGCTGGGCAGAGTGAGTGCTAGCGACACCCTCTGCCTGGCTCTGGCCTCTCCCAAGCTCTTTTTCCAGTCACCTGGGAGTGATGGGCAGGGGATGGAAAAAGGATGGGGATTCATTGAAACCAATAAATCAGGGGCAGCTGCTGCAGAGGGAAAGAATTGTAGGGGCGGTCCTCAGGATAAGAATTAGACCTGGAAGAAACCAATCCCCTTTTTATAGGTGAGGAAACTGAGGCCCTGAGTGGTTTACAAATTTGCTCAAAGGGGCAGGCACAGCAGAGCCAGATCTCCTTGGAGTCCCAGTCCCTCTTGACTCCCACAAGATAGAAGCTGTGCGCCAGAGCACACATGGGAGGCTGGACTGGGCTGCAGCAGGGAGCTGCTTTCTGCTACTATTGCTTCCCTGCCAGAGGGACCTGAGCTCTGACTGAAAACCTCCAAGTTCAGCTTCAAACATTTATTAAGCACCTGCTGGGTATCAGGCACTCTGCTGACACATCTCTTGTTTGTGTCATTTGAATGGGTACCTCATAACTCAGGTTTGCTCCCTAGGGAGCTCTGAGGCCTGGCTCCCAGCACACACCTTGATCATGTCACTTACTATGGGCTTGGACATGTGGGAGCTTTTTAAACAGCTACTCTTCATGTAAGCAGCTGTTCATCCCCCAGGATTTCATGGGAATAGTTCAAATGGGACACAAAGGCATAAAAAATAGTCCTAAGATGACCAAAACCAGAGAGGTGACAAGGTGGCCCCGGAGAGTAAGCATAGAAGGGGAGAGATGGAATTGTATCTCTCCCTGTGGGTAATGGACTGGCTTCTGGGCTGAGCTGGCATCCTTCCCCTTCCATGCTGCAGAGGTGCTGTGTGTGGGTGGCCTATTTGTCCAGGGAAGGTGACATTTGGGCCTTTCTAAGAATAGTGCCTCCAGGTCAGGCACTTCCTCCAAAGACCGTGACTTTGTTTTGAGCATGTGGATACTTTGTGGACTCTCACGGGTGCCCAGGGAAGTAGCTGTCTTAGATTCCCCTGCAGCCCATTGAGCAGTTGCTTGAGCTCAATGGACTTTGCCTGAAGTGGGAGGGCACTCTTGCCTGCCCTTTGCAAGGTCAGCATCCAACCAGCCTCCTCTGGGGTTGCTTTTTCCAGAGCCCCATATTCCCAGCTGGTTGTTGCCGGGGGCAGGGTGGGGATATGTAGAAGCCTGGGCCATGACTCATCTCCCACCTGGACAACGGTGCCGTTCCAGCCCCTTAGCCATCTCTACCAGCTGAAAGTAACCTGAGCACCACCTCCTCAGCTTCTCTGTGCAGACCTGGCCAGGACCCAGGCATGGTCTCCACTGGGATCATCTTACTCTCCTCAGGCTCCCTCCCCAGGAATTAGGCAAGCCTGGGGTAGGGTGGGAACTCAGGACAGAATGAGGCCACTTGTGTCCATCCTCTGCACAGAGGACACCACTGACCTTCAGACCCTGAACTCAGTTGCTATCCATACCAGGGGCTCAAACTGGGTCTTCAAACCTGTGCCTTCAAGTGCCAGCTCACAAGCACATCGTGGTCAGGGAACCTGAAGGGGTCCCTCTCTGGCTTCTCTTTCCCTACTGCTTTGGGAGGGTTGCTCCTGCTCTTAGTCCCCAACACCCTCCTCCCACACGTACACCCAAGATGTCTTGCAATTGATCAATCTAGGTTCATATCTCAGCTCTTCTACTCACTACCAAGTTACTTAAACTCTGTAGACAGTTTCTTCACTTTCAAGCTGTGGTTTCACCTCACGAGGCTTCCATGAGGTAGGTCCATGGGCTACAGGACAGGTCCAGCCGGCTGTGGAGTGTCTGGCATCCAGCAGGTGCTCCATAGATGTGAGGCTTCTCCCTGGGTCCCTTCCCTGTCCCTGCAGCTGGCCATGGCACCTGATGCTTTGAGCCCACATCTCTTCTGAGCCCCTGAGTCCATCCCCATGCCATGCCTTCAGCCCCCCAGGGCTCCTTCCTGACGGGGGCACTGGTCCCCAGCCCCCATCTCCCACCCCTGCATTGGAATTCCGACACTGTGATAACATGCCATCCCTCCCCTGCCCCCGGGCAAGACATCCCCTCCATTGGCTGATACAGGCTGAGGGTCCATTCCAGTCTTCCAAGCCTCCCAAGAAAAGATCCTAAAACTTCCCCTCTGCCTCCCCAGGACCCTTAGGCTACAAGCTTTCACCTCCACCCCGTACCTTTGGTCTCAAAGGGATGGTGGGGAGGCCGCCCTCCGTTCTCTGCCCGGTTCATGGTCTTGTTGTTCTCAGGCTCCGACAGGGGCTCCAGATACTCGCCCAGCTCCGGGATGATTTCCGTGGCATCGTTCTTAAAGGCCTGCCACCCTTGCCCCTCCACCACACGGAAGGCTGCATGCACCAGCAAGCACACAAGACATAGAGCTAGAGAGAGCTGCATGGTGCCAGCCAGAGGAGGGCACCAGCCTTCCAGTAGCACAGGCTCCAGTTCCCACCCAGGCACAGTAGCCTTTTTAAACCCCCCTCTGCCTCATGCCAGCCAATGGGGACAGGATGGGGCAGGGCTGGCCCCATGTTTCCTTCAGCCAAGGGGGAGGGAAAGGGGTGTGCTCAGAATAAGCCCTCCCCAAAGACTTTGCCTCAAGCTCAGCAAACTTTCACATTGCTCTTGATGCTCCCAGGTGACCCAGAGAGGAGGGGGCGGGAGAGGCAGGGCCCTGACCCTGTCCTCCAGCACCTCTCATGGGGAGGCAGCTGTGGTTTGCAGATATCAAAATATGCTTCTGATTCTCAAGCTCCCCAGGCTTCTGGGGACCTTCTCAAAGCAAACTGTAGACCAGCTGAACAACAACTAAGGGCAGCTCTGAGTCCTCTACACAGTTGAGTTTCTGTTGTTGTTGTTGTCACGTGCCATTGAGTCGAACCGACTCATAGCTACCCCTCCTTGGGTTTCCGAGGCGGTATCACTACAGAGGGAGCTCTGGTAGCATAGTGCCTAAGGCACTGGACTGCTAACCAGAAGGCTAGGGACAATCTACTTCCGTAATGATACTGCCTCGGAAACCCAAGGAGGGGTCGCTATGAGTCGGGTCCGACTTGACGGCACATAACAACAACAACAACAACAACAACAACATCACTATGGAAGTATATTGTCCAACCTTCCTTCTGAGGAGTGGCTGGTGAGTTTGAACCACAAGCCTTCTGGTTAGCAGTCTAGTGCCTCAGGCACTACACCACCAGAGCTCCTACAGTTGAGTCTAGATGATCCCATTTTCCCATTTCTCAGGCCAAGTTCACCAACGGCCCGAGGAGTGTCTCTTTGGCCCCCACTGGCCCAGGCAGAGGCAGAAGGATGCTTTTAAAGAAATTCCACTGGACCCTCCTCCCAGGCTCAGAATTTATTCTCCTAACCAAGAAAGCCCCTGTTGGAATCTTCTAGAAAGCAAAAGAGAACGCTGGAGGGCCATAGTGAGGGTGCCTGCTAAGGCATAGGGGGCAGAGATTCTGGGTACAAGTCCAGGGCCAGCAGGTCACGTGGCTGTGCCCAATGAGGAAACCTCAGCACGCGCTCCTGGGTGGGGGGTAGGGTGGGGTTGGTGAGGGTGTTTGCTGTGCACAGTGACAGGTGCTTCTCAGCCAGGAGACGCACTGGGGCTGGCAGACTGACATGCCCAAGGCAGTTATGACTCTAGCCAGGCTGGCGGTGGGGTTGGGCAGCCCAGAATGTTTTTCCTTAGCAAAAGCCAAGGCCAGCATTTTTAGCACTGACTTTTTTCCCCCCTGGTCTCCCATTCCATTACATATTTCATAAATGGTTTTGAGTCATTTTCTTACCTCATTGCATACCGTGAGATGCAAAAGCTACCCCAGGTCCCACTGGACACAAAAAGGCCACAGAGGAATTGCTGCTTTGGCCCTGGAGCCAAAGGAGGGGGATGGGAGGGGGAGAGGCAGAAAGCTTCACACCTGAGGTGCAAGAAAAGAAAGGGCAGCCGGCGGAAGCTTTCAGCCAGATGGATTGTTTGAGCACTGCTGAATCCTCCTGGCCCTGAAGGGAGATTGAGAAGGGGGCTGCAACCCAGACCCCCTTGGTATGTTAACTGGGCCATGAATCAGCATGCCCCACCTGCACAGCCTCTGCAAGGCCTTTGCCACCTGCCTCAACTTGCAAGTCACTGTGTCCATCTGTGGCCGTCTGTCCCTCCTTTCCCCATCCATCATCAGGCACATGAATGCAGCTGTTTTGACAGTTTTACAAGCCAGACAAGAAGCCCCTGCAGGAAGGGCCCTTTCTGATACCTGCTTCCTAAGCCAGTTTCCTTCAGGGCAGACGAAAACAGCTGTGGCCATTGTTGGGGTGATCTATCTCTCCCAACAGAGCAGCACTGTAGTGAGAAGCTGGCCCTCTGCACCCCCTCCCCTTGTCTGTGACCCTCCAGGCTCCCTTTCCTTGGCTCTGGAATGTGGATGGTTAACCCTGTTGTGGCCGGACAACTGCATGTCTGCCCTGGACATAGGAGAGGGCAGTCCCGGTGCTGGAGGTCCCTGAGCTGGACGATTGATGCTTAGAGCCACACCTGCTGCTGCAAGCGATGGGGGAGTCGCAGCAAGGCGATGTGGGGCCCATCCTTGGAACACTGCTGCCACCTGCTGAAGGTAGGAGGAGAAGCAGAAGCTGGAGAATGGTGGTGGTGTCATGTGCTGTGGAGTCGGCCCCCGACTCACAGCAACCCCTCCTTGGGTTTCCGAGGCAGTATTGCTGCAGAAGTAGATTGTCCCATCTTCCTTCTGAGGAGTAGCTGTTGGGTTTGACCTGCCAGCCTTCTGGTTAGTAGGCAAGTGTCTTAGGCACTATGCTACCAGAGCTCCCAGAGAATGGTGAGGCTCAAGCTTTTAATGTATTTCATTTTACTTGATTTCGTTATTTTATTTGAAACTGAAGTAATAGTAAAAGAAAAAAGAAGACTCAAGTTGACTTGAAACACTAAGACAGCTCTATTCCTCTGAATTATTGTCTGACAATCAGAGCCATGCTTTTCACAGAGCGGCTCAGAGAGAACTCACTATTTCATGGGTTTTTCATTTCATGCTAATTCATCAACAGCTCTTTGAATTTACTCAGTCCACACGCTGTTCTGAGCAAACTGTCCAGAGTGAGAGAACATACTCCGGAGTAACCCAGCCAGGGTTTTAGCTGATTTCTGTTAGGGCTGCTATGGACATCCTAACACAAAGTCATTTTCTTAATTGAACTTTCTGAGATCATTGCAAACTCACGGGAAGTGTAAGAACTTATAGGGAGACATTCCACGCACCCTTTACCCACTTTCCTCCAATAGTAGCATCTTGCAAAACTATAGTACGATGTCACAACCCGGATACTGATATTGATAAAATCCACCAATCTTATTTAGAGACCCCCAGTTTTGCTTGTATTCCTCTGTGTGTGTTTAGTTCTTCGCAAGTTTATCTCACACAACAGGCAAGAAAAACAACAGTTCCATGACCACCAGGGTCCCTCCTGTTATCTTTTCATAACCGCACCCCTCCCTCCTGAACAGTCCCTCCCTACCCATGTTGTTATATGCTGTGGAGTGGGACCGACTCATAGATTGTCCAACCTTCCTTCCGAGGAGTAGCTGGTAGGTTTGAACAGCCAGCCTTCTGGTTAGCAGTCAAGTGCCTTAGGCACTATGCTACCAGAACTCATACCAAAGAAAGACCAAACCCACTGGGTTTCTGAGGGGGTAAATCTTTATGGAAATAGATTGCCAAGTCTCCTTCTGCCAAGTCTCCTTCTGCCAAGTAGCTGGTGGGTTTGAATTGCCAGCCTTCTGGTTAGCAAATACCTTAGGCACTACACCACCAGAGCTTCTTCCCCTACCCCAGGGCAACCACTAATCCTTTCTCCATTTCTATTATTTTGTCATTTGGATGTTATTTAAATGGAATCGATCCCTATGTAACCTTTTGGGGTTGGCTTTTTTCACTTAGCATAATTCCCTGGAGATTCATCCAAGTTGTTGTGTGTTACCAATAATTTATTCTTTTATTACTGAGTAGCAAAGGAGCCCTGGTGGCACAGTGGTTTAGCACTCGGCTGCTAACCAAAAGATCGGCAGTTCGAACCCACCAGCAATTCCACAGGAGAAAGATGTGGCAGTCCGCTTCTGTGAAGCTCACAGCCTTGGAATCTCTTCAGGGCAGTTCCGCTCTGTCCTATAGAGTCTCTGAGAGTCAGAAATGACTCCACAGCAATGGGTTTACAGGTTTTTTTTTTTTTTTTTTTTTTTGAGTATTCCACAAAGTAATTTTTTTAGGGATATTTCCAGAAGCGAATGGTGGGTCAGAGGGGGTAAAGAGTTTGGTGGGTCTCCTACATGTTACAGAACTGTTCTCCAGAAAGGCCCTCCATCTCCTGCCCCGCTTCCACACCAGCGTCTCTGCTCCCACCTGACCAGGAACCTAGGTGTGACCTTCACTAGAGTCATCGCCTCCTTGCTCTTCTGGAGTGACTAAGTAACATGGCAGTAGGCATGTTGCTTCACAGGGCTGTCAACGCTGAGCTTGGCTGCAGATCTTTTAAAATGGCATTTAATCACTGAAGAGTTGAATCCTGATTCCTAGCAAGGCTTTTGTTTTTCCGTGTGAGGATTTACTGGCTCCTGAGCCACATGCTCCTTTGTCCACTTGCCACACATTGAATGAAGCAAAGGCTCTCACCAGGTGCCCTAAACTGGGAAGCCACACCCCGTCTGGGAGGTCCCATAGAGGCAGAGACAAATTCTTCACCCAAACAACGCCAATAGCAGGTGGAAGGGGTGACATCAAGAAAAGATTCAGATGCCTTCTGTTTTGTTTTCTTGGTGGAGGATATGGGCAATGATTGCTTTTTTTTC